GAAGCCTTAATTTCACAAAATTATAAACTATTAGTATATGCATCATTAGTTCGACTCATGTGGCCACTTAGCTTTCCTTGTTGCTTGTATTTTTCAGTCGCGTATGCCGACAATGGTTAAGGTATTGCCCTCTTTGTACTCGAAAGTGAAGGCACACTTATGTCTTTGGACGTTAAGCGGGGCCAAACGGTGACCTAGATAATTGGCATTCTACAGTGGCGGATTACATTGGAATTCTCTCTACCCCAAAGTGGACGTTTTACTTTCAGAGCCATTCATTTGAAAATTAGCCTTATCTTCCATAATCGGATCGCGAATAAAGCAGCTTTCCTCTATCACCTTTGAGATTTACACAGGCGTTGCTGACAAGCACTCCGCTTTACTACATTAACTGATTACAATGACTAAGGATACACTCGGAAATGTGTCTGCAAGCGCTGCAACCGAGATTCGTGAGATTCAAAATTGACGGCTCTGATTTGCCCAGAATGCTCTGCTAAATAATTTCTCTATTCTCACAGCATACGTACGGAGCGTGGCCCGTCGTCTCTTGACAAGTTAGTGGCAGACTATGTTGTTGGAAAAGTTGAATCAAGTGACGTTGGTTTTGTGGGCAGATTCCTGGCATGTACATAACACACGTACGTCCTCTGCAATAGGACAACTGAGAGTTCAGTTCCAAAATGAAACCCCTCCATTTTTCATGTACTGTGCATTTTTCAATGAAATCTCCTAAAAGGCACCATGTCGAAGGCGGAAAAAAATAAGTAAAAGCGGCCATTTACGGAAGACTTGCTCATTTTCAAACCTTACAGGGGCACACAGGTCATCCTCAATTTGCTGACTTCCAAAAAGCAAATTTTTATATAGTTCGAAATAAATGTGCTCTTTAGGGAAGATAAACAAATTTTATTGTAAATTTTTGATCTTTGTTACCGAAGTTGTCTTCAGACGTGAAGTAAGTGTGCAAAACAGTTGAAATTTGAACATGCCGAAAAAATCGATTTTGCGGAATCTCTTGGCAGAGACAGTTGCTTCACCTGTGCTCCTTCTTCCACGTTGCGACAAACGAGCAGATTGCTCATTAGCTAGGGAAGTAAAAACACTTTTCCTGCAAACTGGACGCGGCTTCGCCGCTTCCTCCGCCAATATGACAGCAATGCATGAAAGATGGTCTGCCATTACAGGTAACCGTTGAACACGAGAAACAGCGACAAACAACTGCAAAAGAAGCGTGCCACGTCTACCAGTGGAATTTCGCACTATGCACGTTGCGAAATATAACCCGTCGATCCGGAAAAGTGGGGTGGAATACAACAGTCAAAAAATCATGGTTTATTGCGCACGGACCAAATTGGATATTAGATAATTGCACGCTCGATGAATTTACAGAAATTTTCCCAGAACAATGATTTAGTATAAGAACGGAGGATAAATTACTAGCTTCCATTATAACTTCCTGTAGCTCGTCAAGAAGAGAAGGTAATTTGAGTGTCAAAAATATATGAAAGATGTCATTTAACCCAGTTATATTAATGCGTACTTTTATTCTAGCGACTCAGGAAAAGCTTGACAAGCAGAATGGAACTTTTCTGAGTCCTTGCTGCTTCAGAATATCATCCCCCCACCAAATGTCTATTCATAGTTACCACCCCATCCTCCCCAATCACCCACCAGCACACACCCCCAACTACGACTTCCCTCCCCCTTCCCCTCAAACCACCCCGTATTTCAACCGCCGTGCCCGACGATATCCACCGTTTTCTCCACAGCAAGGTGATGCAGGCACGGTGACTTGCACGTGAATTCGTAGTAGACTTGCATTGCATCTACTGCACTCTCTCCTCCTACCCCCCCTTAGCCCAGGGTGTCAGAACGGAATCAAGTAGACCGTAAGCGGGGGAGGGCGCTAAATTCCACACCCCCTGGTCCACACAGCAAATGATCAGGATTTTAACCAACAAAAAAGATGGGGCGACAGGGATGCCAATGTACGCGACGTCTGAGGCTGCCAATGCACCCGGAAATGTCGGCATCTATTATGGTGCGCATTGCGATAACGCCTGCCAGAATCCGCTATGGTCCCCGTGTTGGTTCAGCTCATCTATCGCGTAGCCCGTTTTGGGACACCCAGTATCACCCACACACAGTGGAAAAACTCGTTCACAAATGGCCATCGAAAATGCCGGAAGGGACACTGGTTGGGAGACTGGTAATCCTTGCGGAGGATAATCAGAAATCACTCACGATTTCCACTAGGAAATAGAATTGTTGAGGGCCAATGTGTCTTCCTTGACTTTACTGCGCACATACTCAACGCCTATTTATCTTGCCCCGTGTACCTTCGCACTCATCATTCCCCAGTCTTTTGCTTCTTGACTGAATTTTCGTTAAATACTATAAATTCCTGCGAAATAATATTACCCGCCATTAAGAATATGTTAGTTTCCAATAACAATGCAAACCTTATAAGGAATTGTCCGGACACCAACCCATTGCCTATAGGCGGATGTGTTATTGTTTGAAAGTTTGCCTGAAATTCTGAAAAGTGTTTTTAATTCGAGAAGTTTGCATTAGCAGGGTCGCAGTATTAATTATTATATAGCGTAGTACCAAAACATTCCTGTCACGTTGAGATGCCGGCTTTCGAACGCGTTCTTTATCGACCGCCAATGTAAACTACATTCTTAAGAAAGTGACTACTTGTGTAGTATGAAGTTAATCATTTTCCCTTTTTTGACTCCCTTATAAATTGAAATATATTTTGACAGAAACCGCGCGCGAAAATATTCCTCCATTTATTAATTTGATATCAAATTACGTCTTAGTAAAATTTTACACTTAAAGAAAGAGTTGTCTTTCGGTTTCAAAAACGTTTCTAATTATGAGATATTTTAGGACCGTGAAATGTTCAACCGTACACCATCGCATTAGCATATTTTTAATGCTGCTTATAAAGTGAGCAATGTAGATTATGTATTTTAGAAAATTTTACGAGCTCTTTATGTCTTCTTTATAATAGCATATAGAAATATATGATTTACTGTGCAAGAAAAGTATATAGTTTGTAGTTCTGAAACCCTAAATGCGAGTGAAACGGCAGATCAGGTTCAAAATTATTCGGGAATTGGGGGCATTAAAAATCGGTGAATGTCCTGTCTTCAAACATAAAATTTGAAGAACACGTAATTTGCAGTAGAAAGAATATTTTCGTGCATGACTGCTATAAAATATATTTGAATTTTTAGCGCTAGCAAAAATCAATTTAAAGAGTGTATGCTGTCCAAGTAGTCATTTTTGCGAAATGTGGTTTACATAGGAGATCGATAAGAAGCTCATTCGTAGGTCGACATCCCTGCGTGATGGGAGTACGTTAACATTATTTGATGTGATAATTAATGTTGCAAACTTATTAAAGTGATCTGTTGGAATTGAAGAGACATTTCAGAACTCCAGTCGACGTTCAATGGGATACCATATGTGTTCTATACATTCTTCTTCGAAATTAAGCTAGGTGTTTTAAGCCCTAATTGCCGTAGAGGGAAGTAAAACTTGTCTATAAGATATCCTGTCAGTACATGTCCCCACCCTATGGGCCGAGCAAAAGCGGAGGTCGATGGAGACATCATCATATCTGGAGAGTCCTTCTTCGTTCAGTTCTTTGAAACTGTTTAATATTACTGTATGCTTTTTTAGCACAAACAGCATAGGTTCCTCTCCTGAGTAGAACACGTTGCAGCGACAATCGTGGAAGTAAACTACTTCTTGTTGTTTGTTTTTCGGAGGACAGCGTGGACTGAATGACATTCCAACACTTGGCCTCGCCATTTGGCCTCATCCACCCCTCTTTATGCGGGGTAGCCAACAGCCGCGAATTCAGCAGATGACTCTGTCTGCAAACATCCTCCGTGAAAAAACAAATAACAGGAAGAAGTTTACGTAAACATCATTTCTACCGGAGGACCTTCGCCAGAAAAATACCCACGCTATTTGCATTGTAAAAAACCATGCAGTTACAAAGTTCGTTCAGCAAACCTAGCCAGACAACCACAGGCTTATTTAGTCGTTCAGGTAAAGAAAATAACCGAACGCCAACTAAAAGCGCTTCCTGTGTAACATTTCCGACGTAGAAATGAAGGCTTTTGGAAGTAATCTTGCAATGTTTTAAATAAAATAGCCCAACGCTGGTGACTCCGAGCATAAAATATTTCAGATAGCTAATCAGTAAATCAGGTGACGCTGCCAACGCGCGGATAAATCACGCTTTTGACTATCCATGGTTAACTTATTAAACGAATTTTGTATGGATGATATTTGCCTACATTTTCTTAAGCAAGCCACGAGTTTGCCACTTTCGTTCAAACCTACACCAAGCTGGGTTCGCAAATCTCCACTATTCGAACTTTGGACTCAGTATCTATTAAGATCAAGGTTTTGCAAATCGAACTACGACCTTGAAAGCTCATCCTACAATTCTAAATAGCGCTCGAAGACATGTGGATGTAATGCTCGCCAAATCGGCCTGATTGCAAGATAAAATACGATCCTTCCACTTTGGTTAGTGAAAATAAAGTTATGACGTTTTCCGACGGTTTCCAGATCTTATAATGAGGCCTGTCGGAGGAGATGTCCGCCTGTGCAAATAAGAGCGATCTTGCAATAAAAAGGAAATCCTATGGGGCCTTGCATTAATTTATGTCCGAATAAGGGTATTTTAAACCCCCTGTCTATAAATACTGGAAATGAACACAGCAGCCCAGCTAGTCAAAATATATTTTAATACAGCAAAAGGGTTACTTTTGTATTGTAAGTAGGTAATTCGATATAGTATACAGAGGTAAAATGCAAAAGAGGTTTTGTCGACATCACCTGCGTCTGAATTTCGGGGAGTATTTGCACTTTGGCCACGCCAACGAAGACGAATGTACTCCTCGGTTTTGAACTGGTTAATGTGTGCGTTTAGTGAACATTGCCGAAGAATCTCACATGCTGTCTTGTGTCTAACTCGTAGGGCCATCGAGAACTTTTTGAATAAAATCTACATAAGATGGAAATGAAGCATCACACTTGAGTTGGAAACTCAAATTACGGTTGAATAAGTTGGAAGATCTTATATAAAGTCCCCTTCTTTGAAATGTGAGATTCCCCACGAAGTTCGACCGTTGCCTAGCCAGTAGGTTGAACAAACGCAAGGAAAGCGTACAAGCCCTGGTAAATCTCCAAAGATTTTTAGACAACAGGTGAGCTGATTTTTTAAGGACTGCCTTCAATCTATGCGGTTTGAAAGCGGCAATGTAAACAGAGTAATACAAATATCATGGAAATAATGCTGAAATGACCCTCCCTTGTTGAGTATACGAAATTGAGAAATTCGTACGTTTTAGCAATATGTCTACACATTTTGAATTGCTAAAGGAAAGTATTATCTTTCACTGTATTACACGAATGCTTAAGAAAAGGAATATAGTCGTTATGCTTAGCTTCTCAAATCTGGGATTTTCATGTAAGTTGATCGATTACCTTAAGGTATTTGATAAACCGTCGAAAGGGTGTACGGCATACTAAGCGATATCAATACTGGTGACACGTTCTCGATTTTCACAATGTTTGAAAATTGTCATTTTCCACAATTTCTGTTTTGCCTTTTACCCATAGGGTTTTACTCTAACAGTCGACTCATCTAACAAGAAAAGCATTGGAATCAAAACGTGTAGCAAGGTTTTTCTTACTGTGTACCAGTATGAATCCAATTTTTAGCCCTGAGAGTGGCGATAGGTAAATTGGGACGCAGACGAAAGAAAATCTGGTCAGTTTAATTTCTCGCACAATCAGAAAATTTGGAGGTGAGATGTTCATCTCTAGAAACTGGTTTAAATGGATATAAGATTTCTCAACCAAACTGCTGCATTGCTTGCGTTTTCCTACCAGCTCTGAAACATCCCGCCTGTGTTAAACACTTCACACTTGTATAAGTTACTATATCTGGCCGTCCTCTCATTGCGGCTGCAGCCTAACGTCATCCAGCGTCGAGCACAAAGGGACTGAAACACGACTCGCATTTACAGGACGTCTCAGGCTAGGTGAAAAAAAACCGTCTGAAATCAAGGAACGCTCCACCGTCGTAATAAACAGGACAAGCTACCATCAAAGGGCCTAGAGATTGCAAGAGGATCGCACGTTCTATGTTCCATGAAAATCGAAATCAGTTAAAAAGTTGACTCATGAAATTGTCGACAGTGGAGAGCGTAAGTATGATATTTAAAACGGGTCGGAGCACGGCAAGAACCTAAGAAACAAACTTTACCCAAAGCTATGGTTTTTTTAGGGTGCTCATACATGTCTCCTTCCTCCGGTCTATCGCATCATACTACAGTGCCGAGATATACGAACTGCAAAAGTGGTTAATACGGGTTCCAAAGATTTTGACGCTGATTATGACAGCAAACGGAGTTTGTTAGTACAATGCCCGAAGGATTTAAAAAAGCTATTAGCCTTCTGGAGGACGTCATTGCATTTCTCAAACCACGTCCACCTTTCTTATACTCCCCATGATCTGACGGTGGAGAATATTAAATCACTCCTGAGATCTAGTTGGGATGAAATCTGACGTCCTGAAGTACTCACCGTAATCCGCGAAATTCCACAGCTCCCTAGATTTCATGCTTCAATGTCTTTGACACTTCACAGTCTTACTTAGATTAACGGGTTGAGCGCTGTCCTCAGAATGTGTGACAGACAAAGAGTGAGTCAGGCAACAGTCATGTCGATTTGCCATCTAGTTACCAGCCGGTGTGAAATTAAGCCGATAACTTCGTTGAAGGCCGCCTTCTGTGGAGACAATCTCGAATTCTTGCCGATTACTTCGGTCTCATTTATCGGCGGGTATACGCCCGAATAAGCTATTAAAGAATCGAAATTATAAGAAAGTGGAGGGGCCGGTAAGGCACAATGGAACGGTTGAGTTCCGTAAGAACGTGTGAGCGGCCCTCTGCCATTGTATATTCCCGATCGAAACCAACAGGACAACGAGCCTGTGGTCCAGTGGTTACAGGCTTTGGACTTCTAACTAACAGGTCGCGAGTTCAAAACCCGGGTGCTCCACGCCTCGGGGTTGGGTATGAGTGGCTGACAACGGCTAATAAGCCAGAAATGGCCATTCCAGTCTCCTTTGCCTTTGTCGGTAATAGCATTCTACTTATATCATGCGCAGCTGTATGGTTGCTGGTTGGGGTCGATAGAAAGAGAGTCTGTAAGGTAAGAGCGATCAGTGAGCGCCCCTCTACCATTATATATATATATATATATAGATGAGATGATACCGACAAAGACAAGGGAGGCCGGAATGGCAATTTCTGGCTTATTAGCCGTCATCAGCCAGTCATACCCAACCCCAAGTGTGGATCACTTGAGATTCGAACCCGGGATCTTTGGTCATGGAGTTTGACGCTCTACCATTGAGCCACGGGCCCGTTGTCCTGTCGGCTGTGATCGGGAATATTAATTATGACAGTGGGCGCTCGCCGATCAGGTTACGGAACATGCTCGTTCCGTTGTGCCTTGGGGCTCATACTTAAACCCTCGCAGGCAGTCGCACAGCGACTAGTAGTAGACATAGATGAGATGATACCGACAAAGACAAGGGATACAGGAATGGCCATTTCTGGCTTATTAGCCGTCATCGGCGAGCGCCCACTGTCATAATTAATATTCCCGATCACAACCGACAGGACAACGGGCCCGTGGCTCAATGGTAGAGCGTCAAACTCCATGACCAAAGATCCCGGGTTCGAATCTCAAGTGATCCACACTTGGGGTTGGGTATGACTGGCTGATGACGGCTAATAAGCCATACCCAAGCCCGAAGTGTGACACACCCGAGCCTCGAACTCGCGACCTGTTGGTTTAGAAGTCCACGCCTCTATCCACCGGGCCACGAGCCCGTTGCCTTGTCGGTTTTCGATCGGGAATATACAATGGTAGGGGGCGCTCACCGATCGTTCATACAGAACTTACTCGTTCCGTTGTGCCTTAAGGGCTCTCTCTCGAGCTCATGCGCCGCTGTGCGGCTGCTGGTTGAGCTCGAGAGAGAGCCCTTAAGGCACAACGGAACGAGTGAGTTCTGTATGAACGATCGGTGAGCGCCCCCTACCATTATATATATATATATTTATGAATAATGGAGGTAGTATGCATTCCGAGGCGATATAATAAAAGGAGAAGGCTCGTCGGAAAATCGAGGTATACTCGTGAATTTTCAAGTCGGTTACACCAACCCGTCGTCAGACGAAAATGAAAAGTGTGAGGGAGATAATCCTACTGGGGAGTCAGGGGGACATCGAGGTTACATCGACAAGACAGGCGTTTATGTGTGGGGGTGAAGAACGTGTTTGGATAGGTGGCGGACGTTAGGGGTGGTGTTGGGGGTTTCACACATGGTTCACTCTGTGGGGGAGGTGCTGAATCCATGATATTCTACATGGCCGAACATGGATTAGCAGTTGGTGGCTTAGGGTGGGCGCAAGCCGGCGAACCGTGAACGTAAGCCTTCGTATTCACGTGTATACCTCGATTTTCCGATGAGCCTTCTCCTTTTAATATATATTTATATTTATATGCATACATATATGGAATAGCTGAGGTAGCGTGCTGAGGTATCTGAGGTAGTGTATACATATATGTTTGTATGTGTGCATGTTTGTGTGCGCGGCCCCAAACGAGCCACGTGGCAGATGCGCTGGTCCATAGTGGATTCTAGCAGACTTTATCGGAACGCGCAACATAGCAAACGCCAACATTGCGGGATGCAGTGGCAGATGTAGCACACAGTGAGATCCCTGCCGCCATCCCATTTTTGTTGTTGCTTAAAATCTTTGTCACTTGTTTTGTGAACCAGGGGGTGTGAAGTGGGGCTAAAAGGTGCGGGCTCGACCGTGCTATCCAACCGCTCCTTTGCCCGCCCCCAGTCTTCTTGATTCCGTCTTGACACCGGGCTTGGGTGGCGGTGGAGGAGGAGGAGGAGGAGGAGGAGGAGGAGGAGGAAAAGAAAGTTCAGTGGACTCGGCGCGAATCTACTATCACTATAAACTAATTCTTGCGCAAGTCACATTGACTGCTTCACCTTGCCGTGGAGCAAACGATGACGAGGATCGAGCTGTCGTGTGCGTAGGGGTGTAGGTGTGTCCAGTTGTAGGTTCATGCTCACCTGCTTGCAGGTGTTGACTACATCTAGCGTCCATTAACTAGCCTCTAACTCTCGCATTTGGCTCCCAAAATCTAGGCTTTGCCTGGCCGCCACACCCCGGCAGCCGCCTCGACCGGCGGGCTAAACCAGGGGAGGATATTCGTTTGCGTACCTCCACTCACTGCTGCTGGGCGTGCGGATCACGGCGTCGCCATCTCCAAGATGAGGCCCCGCCAACAACCCGCCGGAAGTCATAAAATAAGTGACCTCCTAAGTATGTTGAACACCGCTTCATTGTCCTGACTGTTCGCCCTTGCATTTTCAGCACTTAGCAAACTACTGACGCAGTGGCTGGAAGGCTCGGCCTCTTCCTACCCCTTCGCCCTCACTCCCTGCCCTTCAGTCTCCATACTCTATAGTCTAATCCATTCTCTTACTTTGTTGTCTTTGCCCTGATTCTTCTTGTTGTAAAATAAATACCGTTTTGATGAATACCATTCTGTTGCATTTCTCAGCTCACCGCTTGCGTTTCCCGCCACTACACTCTTCCTCCAACCCCTCCTCCTCTCCTTACTTCAAAAAGTCCTACGGTGAGAGCGATAGCGCCAGAGTCCGCTCACTATGGCGGCCAGGACTGCTCCTTTTCTTTTAGGTAATCCCAGGAGTAATCGGCCGAACGAAGGACCGCGCTAGTCGATCGGGAACTGGCGCGCTACAAGGTGGACATTGCTACACTCCGCGAGACGCGTTTCGCCTAGCACGACCAAATGGAGGATGTGGGTGCTGACTCCATCTTCTTCTGGATGGCCGCCCCAAGTCAGAGGAACGAAGCGCGGGCATTGCCTTTGCCATCCGAAACGACATCGTAAGAAGACTGCCTTGTCTGCCGCAGGACATCAACAAGCGCCTGATGAGCCTCCACCTACCTCTCCGGAGAGGCAAATTCGTCAACATCCTCAGCGTCTATGCCCCTTCTCGATGACCAGCGCTGACGCAGCAAAGAACGAATTCTAGGAAGACCTGCACGCCTTCCTGGCGACTGTGCTGAAGACGGACAAGTGGCTTTAACGCTCGCGTCGGCACAGGCCATGTCGCCTGGAAAGGGGTGCTGGGTAACCATGGTCTCGGCGACTTCAATGATAAGTGCCTGCTCCTCCTACGGACCTGCGCAGAACACCGCCTCATGATCATTAACCCCTTCTTTCGCCCTCCGACGCGAGAGAAGGCCACTTGGATGCACCGTCAGTTGCGATACTGACACCTGCTGGATTATGTCCCCGTCCGCAGGCGAGACCACCGGGACGCGCTGGTGACAAAAGCGATTCCGGGTGCCGACGAGTGGACCGACCATCGTCTCGTCATCTCCAAGATGAGGATTCGCCTACAGTCACGCAGAAGACCTCAAGACAAGCGACCTCCAGGTAAGCTGACTACGGCTTTATTGTCTCTGCCTGTTCAACGGCCTCCCACCCGCCGTTGACGAGTACGCCTCCGTAGAGAAAAAAATGGTGCCAACTGCAAGACACGGTCTATACGACGGCCCTGGCTGTACTTAGTCGCGCACGCCGCTAACACCAGGACTGGTTCGATGACATCGACGCCGCCACCAGCAACCTGCTCACCGAGAACAACCGCTTGCACGATGCATACGTCAGCCGCCCCACTGATGCTAACAGAGCTTCTTGCCACTGTAGTTGCCGCCTTGTGCAAAGGCAGCTGCGCGAGATGCAGGACATCCGGATGGCTTGCAAGCCCGACGAGATCCAAAGATACGCGGGTCCCAAAGAGTGGTAGAACTTCTTTGTCGGAATCAAGGTTGTCTGCTGCTCCACAGTCAAATTCACCACACCTCTTCTCAGCACCGACGGCAGTACCCTACTCACCATGAAGACTCATCTTCTACAGCGATGCGCCGAGCACTTCAGAGGCGTCCTTAACCGTCCATCCACCACCTTCGACGCTGCCGTCGCCCGCCTGCCCCAAGTGGAGACCAACGCCGACTACGATCTCCCGTCCTCTCTGCACGAAACCATCAAGGCCGTTCAGCAGCTCTCCAGCGGGGAAGCGCCCGAATAGGATGCGATCCCTGCTGAAATCGACAAGCACGGTGGCCCCCAACTTAAGGAACACCTGACAGCGCTCTTCCAGGAGAAGTGGCGTCAAGAAGAAGTTCCTCGGAATTTTAAGGACGCCACAGTCGTCCACCTCTAGAAGCGGAAAGGTGACCACCAATTCTGCTACAACCACTGAGGCATCTCCCTGCCGAACATCGCCGAGAGGATCTTCGCTCGCATTCTCCTCAAACACCTGAACAATCATCTGGAATAAGGTCTTCTGCTGGAAAGCCAGTGTGACTTCCACCGTCATCGTGGAATCATTAATCTGAGCTTAGCCGCCCGCCAACTGCAGGAGATGTGGGTCCATCCCTTCTCTACTTTCGTGAATCTGACGAAAGCCTTCGACAAGGTACTACTCACTCAGATGATGCGTCAGCACCACGATGGCATGATGGCGCTAGTCACAGACAATGAAGCTGTCTCAGAGGCATTCACATTAACCAATGTGGTGTTGCGGGGCTGCGTTCTCGAGCCCACCCTCTTCAATCTCATGTTCTCTGCCATGCGAATGGACGCCTACCGTGAAGAATGCCCCGAGATCCGCCTCGCCCACCGGACGGACTGCCAATTTGTCAGTCGGCGGCGGGTGCACTTCCAGTTGCGCGTATTCACAAGTATCCTCCATTAATTCCTCTATGCCGACGACTGCGCCCTAGACGCCACCTCTGAAGGGTATATGCAAAGGAGCATGGATATCTTCACCGCAGCCTGTGAGAACTCTGGCTCGGTCATCAACACGGAGAAAACGATGGGCATGCATCATCCGCCACTCTATGCTGCCTACGTCGCACCCCATATCAACGCAAACGGCACCTCAACAACCGTGGACAACTTCACGTTTCTGGGCAGCATCCGTTACCGCAACAGCATTGTCGACGATGAAGTGGCCCACCGGACTTCCAAGGCCAGTCAAGCCTTCGGTCGCCTGCAATCGCCATGGTCTCCACCTCACCACCAAGCTGAAAATGTACAAACCAGTCATCCTGCTGACGCTGTGGTATGGGACGGAGACCTGGACGGTGTACAAGAAGCATGTGCGAAGATTCAAACACTTCAACTTTCGCTGTTTGCGACGGATACTAAAGGTGAGTTGGCAGGAAAGGATCCCGGACATGGATGCACTGGAACAAAGGCTAATCCGCAGCATCTGCGTCGTGCTGAGACATCTGCAACTGGGCTGGAGCGGCCGCCTTGTGTAGATGAACGACGAGTGGCTACCCAAACTACTTTTTCACGGATCTGTGGCAATGAGTTCTCGCGGACAGGAAGGTCAAGTCCGGTGCTACAAAGACACCCTGAAAACTTCTCAGAAGCGCCTACAACTCAGCCCAGCCAACTGAGAAACAACGGACCTGAAGTACAGCAGTGAAGATAGGCGCAACAATCTACGAAGCCAACCGCGTCACCGTCGCTAAAGCCAAAAGCGAATTTCGAAAATTTCAACTGTCCCCACCACGCAATACCAGCACATAACCGTTCCCGAACCACCCACGATGTCAGCGGACGTTTTACGCACCAATCGGTATTATTGGGCACGTCCGAATCAACTGCGGCACCGGGACGACAGTACCTGATGTTCCCCCGTCCACCCTTACCTCGCCATCCACGCTGATAGTCAGCACTGACCGCTCTCTTGAATCCCCGATGCCGTCATTCATTGCCAAAGCATCCGCTGTGGCGACTCCAGTACCCACCACGACTGCCCACAATCCTGACACATCGACAAACATCAGCTTTACCACCGCCAACACCAGCGGCGTGGACTGCGTCCATACCTTTCCTCGTTGCGGTCGCGCCTTCATTTCACACATTGGCCTGGTCGGTCACTTGCGAATCCATTACACAGAGACTGGCGAACTCGTGCCTGGAGCGCCACCAAACACTCGCCGCAGCCACCTTCACTGTCCACACTGCCCCCGCACACTCACCTACCACATGGGTCTTCTAGGTCACATGTTTATCCACGAGTGCGGAACTCACCACAGTCTCGACACACCTAGCACATCTTGCCCATCCATCATATCCAGCTGAAATCACATCCTGCGGCCCAGCACGCCCGCCATCATCAGCTACACCGCTGCCGCCATCACCGAAACCGATCCTGACACCATCGGCTTTTCCTGTCCCCACTGTCCCCGAACATTGATCTCACACGTTAGCCAGGTCGGTCACTTGCGAATCCATCGTATAGAGGCCAACGAACTAGTGACTGGAGTACCAATATGCGCCAGACGCATTCGACTTACCGGCCGGCATTGCCCTCATACATCCACGCATTGCACGGGCCTTCTAGACCACATGCACATTCACGAAGATCTGCGGTAGACAACCGCCGGCAACACCACTGCACTGACTTCTTTTGCTCCACGCTTCATTACATCTCTACTTCTCGGGTTTCTCTTTCCTCGTCCCGTATGTAATGCACTCCTGCATATTGCTGGCTGTCGTTTTCAGTATTACCACGTTTCTCACATTTGGCCGAACTGCGCTGCAGGCATTCATCTGCCTTTTTACAAAATGTGTCTGGTTGTCCTACATTTCATCGTTAGATGTTTATCCAAAATTACAAACTAGTAATCTTTGTTTTGTGTTTTCTGAAGTCACATTTTGAAAGCCTACCTTCATACTTAATATTTCCGTCTGCTTCTTGCTGGACTCCCGTAGCTGCAAATATTTCGTCCACTTCTTTTTCGGACAAGCGTTCACCTGAAACGCCAAGAGATAAAGGGTTTAAAAGTTTGAATTTTTCAATAAGCCTGCAGCGGCAGCGTCGGCGGCGGCTACGAGCACAGAGTTGAAAAATGCAAAGAACTGCAGTACTGGTTTACGGAGACTATGGATAGCATGCCTAAGCTCTGGAGAGAAGTTTCTTCTTCAGAATCAATTCACAGAAATGGACATGCAGTATAGTCTGAACAGGAGTCTTAACCGTTAGTCGAGTCTTCAATCTGTAAGTATAACCCATGGCAGAATGTCATTAATACAATAAAAAACGTTATTTAGGAGGTATGCATACCATAGGTCACGAGGACTGCTCGCAACTGTGCCGCATCGATGAGGCCCTGAGACTCCCGATCAAAGGTCCTGAATAACTCTGTAAACATGGCCTTTGTCACGTTCGGTCTGTCGCGCAGAATTGCTTGGTAGACCGAAAGGAACTCCTCAAACTTGTACTGAATTTCCCCTTTAAAAAGCAGGTGGAATTGTTGGTTACACATAAGCGACAAATTTACGACTGTGGATGCCTGAAAGCTGTTGCGAACATACACTTCTCACTTTAAGTTTCCTGACTTCAGTACAATCATCAGGTGTCGTGATATTACTGATCGTTCTCAGTGGGCTGTAATTTTATTTGACTGGTAATGGTTTCTGAATCATTTAAAGTTACAAGGTCAGTTTCCTAGTTTACAATACACACAAAATAAACACCGTTAGACCTGGTTGCAATAGCGGATTCGTAAATTGAGCGCATTACTGTAGAATTCAGATTGGCAATGTCATTAAGCAAATCAAGAGCGAAGCATTGTTTAACTATGACGACACTGGAAAACGCCCCGTACATGGGACTTTAAATGGCGTCCTCTATTTTAAGAGAAGCTCGTTTGTTTTAAGTTGGAGTCGAACAAACCGGAACGAGATAATTCCACTCCGACTTGCTAACTGAAGGCCATTTAACCCACACCCACTCCTTCACTTGTCGGTGGGTTTCTCCTTACGAAGTTGTATTCCCCGTAATTGTCATGTCACTAGCAGATCCTCTGAATTTACTTGTTTTTAACCGGGCATTTTCCCCTGGCAGGGCAGCGCAGAGGCGACCTCATGGGATAACCTTAATCCCCAAAGAGAGCTAAGAAGTCTAACGAAAACCTCCCATACGAACTCATCAGTCCATAATGTGAGACTTCGGAATGAGTATATGCCGTTGATCACTTCATCCGCTTCAAGAAGAGGATTCGTCTGTCAAATTATGTCATAAATTTTATCGTGCAAGAACCTTTTTTTAGTGTGAATGTCTTCATAGATTTAATTAGTGCATAACGCATAACGCTTACAGCGTCATTTAGTTATTATCGTTTCATGGCTTTCGATTGCATGTCATTTCTTAGGCATGCATCCCGTAATCGGCTCACTCAAAGTTCACACGCCTACAATGGAGACGTAGTAAAGCCTTAACAGCGTACCCAAATGCACAAGTTCTATTTCAACCTGGCGGGCATAATTTCGAAATATTAAACTCACACGAGGATGGTGTCTTTTTGTTTGACGTATTTCCTGCTGACCGCAGAAAACATGTTCACTAAATATTGACAACTTAAGGGCCATGAGTTTTGTCCCTTGACATTCAGTGCGCTTGTAAGTCCAGATGCATTATATTTAATCTATGCGCAAGACTGTCTTTTTGCACTCATATTGTAGTTAACTAAACTTTTGGTCAGATGGGGTTATGCAGCCCCACATGAAGTAAACAAACCGCAGCCATCTGTACCACGGAATCGGTGATAGTAGGGGTTTTTACAGGCGGGACCGGGAAACGCGCAGGCGACGAGGTCAAGTAATGGTATGCAAAAGAAAAGCTATTAGGAATGCGCGCTGTACTGTGAGGGGTCGAAAAATAATTGCCCTAACCCCTAACCGTAACCTCTAACCTTAACCCCTAACTTCAACCCCTTATCCTAACCCCTAACCCCAACCCCAACAGTACTGTGTCCATTAGGTGGAGCTACATAACCACATCTTACCAAAGTTTTCTTACTTTTTCTGCCCGAAGGATGGGCATCCTACAGTACGAAAAGGTCTCTCAATTGGCGAAAAATTTTGAACGCGACCTGCCGTTTCACCTAATTTCAGTTTTCAAAATATAAAACCTGTACACAATCCATTTAGGGAAAATCATCTGTCTTTCCAGTTTTTTAAGGAGATCGCACGTAGAGCTCATAAGATTTTGGAATGGAAATGGACTATGTTGTATACTTCAAAGGCTGCACTAGTAAATGGGCAGATAGGATGTTGCTTGCACAGACGATTCACAGGCTAAAAACATTTCATAATTAGAAACTTTTTAAACTCAAAGTTATCCTATATCCATTTGGGGAATGTGAGGAGGGCAAAAGTTATTGCAAAATGAGCAGAAAAAGGCATTTTTTGCATGCTTCCTATACATTATGTTTGCATTTATAAGAAAATCTAAAACCAATGGTAAAAATTCATTCTGACTAAGTGGTTATTTTGATTTAAGTTTTTTAAGCCACTTCGTAAAACTCTTGCCGAGACGTAGAGAGCATTGTGTTACGATGGAAAAGAGGATTTTGCCGGCTTGGCGGCCGCATGTAAAGCGACGCTGCAAATGGTGACACTAGACTAGACTTTCATCTTCCACCCTACAAAGCTGTGCCCAGGGCAGCGGAAACATTCCAGTAACCGCTTTTGTCAGCAAACCGAGCCGGACGAGTGTGTATTCCAACGACATAAACTCGCGTGTAGCCTGATTCAGTCGGTACTCAGAAGCCAGTGGTGTTGTGGCATGGAAAGGCATCGGTTTATATTAAAGATAAGTCACTGATCCAGTCATCAGTAGTCATAACAGATTATTGACGAGATAGTTAAAGCATATTGAGGCTGCTTTTGTGCAAATTCTCCTCACTATAGTCCAACCTACGCATATGCTGACTTTGCCACCCACGGAAGTCCATCCGTAAACGTCATTTTTACCGAAATATTCAGGTCCTACGGAAAAAACGATATGGAATCTTATAGTTACCCAGGTTGATTCAAGTCGCTGTCTCACAAATCACGAAGTTACGACTCACAGTGGAACTCGGAAGTCGCCTGGGATATTTAGACAACCATATTGAGGGCGCACTGTATACCCGCCAAAAAATACCTGGGGGAAAATATGCCCTTACGCGTTGGATATCACGATATCTTCATTTTAATTATGGCCAGCGGTAGCCAAAAACACTTTAAACACCGTCCTAGACAATAACTCTCTTAGAAATGATTTCTTTCATTCTGAAAGCCTGGAAATTGTATGCTCTTAAAATTGCCTCGGACACTGACCGATCAGAAAGAAGGACAGTTTTCGTCAACTGAAAACTCATCAGATGTAGTGAGAATGTAGCCATTTTCAGCGAAGCCAGTTTCTTCAAACATGGAGTTAGAAACCGTCATTTCTGAGTTTTGCGATCAAGAGGAGTCTCAAACACCAGACCAAACTTCTTCGGACTGAGTGGGGTGAAAGCAGCATTTCTCGAAACCTTGTGGCGTCACTATACTTTAGGTTGATGCAGAGCAGAAACTAACGAGCCTGCGTTGATCACCCACGAATTTCGTTACTCATCAACATTGATAAAATACCCACTCTCTTCTTACTCAACTACTTCACCTTACATTAAGGACAAAGATCGCTGCCGCAGCGTGCAAGCTGGCCATCTACTGGATAAATAGTAAGAAGCTACATCTAGCTGCCTTAACTCATTTCTTTTCCTGAAAAGAGTCATCAGCTCAATTAAATGAAGTGGACCTTTAAGGATTAACAGGAGGTGGGACGTTCTAAAAATGTTCACTCCCATGAAGCAACGACAAAAGGTACACAGGTGCACGTTCCCGACACTGGGTTGATCTCGAATTAGACCGCGAAGAAATGGCTGAGACAAGTTAGTGTAATCGTTCTTCCCCTCTTCAGTCTCATGTTTTTTGCCACTTTAGTGGAAAATTGCCTAGATAAACACTTTGCCGTCGAAATCAACTACAGAGTCCATAAAAGCTCCCCAGAATTCTCGAATGCATTTCTATGCAAAAGAGTGTGGTCACAAAGTCCGCAAACGCCTTTTCACTGAAGATCGGGCTTTTGACGTCGAGATGAATTTAGTCATCCACCAGGCCTACCGCCCGCATTCAGAGCCATGCGGAACCATCTCTATATCTGTGGCATTGGTTGTGGATTGGTAGGTGACTTCCATTTCTGGCAGTTGTTCTGTCGCTGCTGTCATCTTTGCCGAAGAACTCTCTTTTGCAATTTCGAATGTTGGAAAAATTAACAAATGGTTCATATGCTTGATCAGTCTCCTTCGTCCTTACTCAAGCGGACATCTGGAATTCGAGCACTCGTTTCCGATCATGCAGTAGAGTGCGACTTCATCATCAGACTCATTAGCGATCCTGCGAAAAACTGACACCATTTGCGGAACACAATAAAACGAAGGGTCGATGTCGCTGATTGTCCTCCTACTGCTTTGAAAATCCTTTTGGTCGCCAGTACAGGCTAAAAAACCGTCAAAATGATGACAAAATTGCAACCTGAATCGCAAGTGCTTGTCACCGGAAGTTTGCAGTCGCGAAGACTTCCTAATATCTAAGTGAGGGTTTTAAGGATACTGATTCTGATTACACTTTTCCAAATTTGATAAATATAACTCCCCTATCCTGACCAAGAAAGGAACTCGCGTTCTTTAAACTTTGGCTGTTCTCTAGTTTTTGCAGTTAAAGTGGCAAACCGAATCATGGAAACTCTGGTTTTGAGGTCTGCTTGAAAGCTCACTGTCTTCGCAAAGACTGGCCATCTCTGACCTTCATTGAATATGTGCGTCGTACAGCGACTAGTGGACGCATTCCATACCGCCGCATACGTTCGCAGAGGAAAAAGACAGAATCAGCCGTGGAGGCAGCATTTGAGGAATCCAAAAACGACTGGAGCTCCTGAAAACTCTTGCAAGGATCATAGCAAGATGAACTGCTGTAAATAAAATTAATCTAGGACTCCGAACCGGCCGAATTCAAGTGGGAGAATTAAGAACGCACAACTGCGAAGGCAAAAACAGTTATTTCAACGCCTCGCTCTGTCGGCCCATAAATGTCTAGACCGCCACCGAACCCACACCCACAGCATCCGACGCACGCACAGAAAATTTACCTCTCACGTCAGTGAGAAGCGTACTTTTTGATGCAACCTAGCGCCTCCGACCAGTTTGCGCATAACTCGCGTAGACGGGCTGTAGCAGCCCTGTCAACTCCTGCCCAATTTGATCACCGGCTGGCTGACGAACTCGAACGTTTGGCTGGGGCACGGAAAAGAGGAGCCACGACACTTCCGTGCGTTCCTCATTTTAGAAAATCTGACGCCTCCGAATCTATCACGACGGACTGAACGTCGTGGCTTGGAAGCCTGCTAACTGAAGGAGTAATTCACTCCTGGTGGTTCGTGCTGTGTGTACGTAGGGTGACTGGAGGCAGTTCGACCGTCGTTTCCGGCGATGTCCGCCGTGCGCTCTACAACAAGGTGACAGCAGGGACGGTGACTTGCGCAGACTTGCTCAGCATCCACCGCACTCCTTCCTCATCACCCACCTCGACCCGCTGTCAAGGCAAAGTTAAGAAGACTGGACTCGGGAGAGGTCGAGCCTGGGCGTGCCACCACGCCCTTCCTCCACTATGTACACTGACAAGGATTTAATACCGCAAAAAGAAATAGGAGGGAGGACATTTTCGAGAACGTCTGCCGGATTCTGATTTAGTCTCTGTGTTGGTCTGTACATCTACCACGTCGTTAGTTTTAGGAGAACACTAACATACTGTCCCCATACTGTTCAGTCTCTTCCTCCGCCGTCTGCTCGATTTTTGAACCCTTTCTGCGAGCTTAAACGACCACCTAGACCTTACACGTCGCTATTATTTCCCGCTCAGCGCCATTAGCAATAACACTGGTTGTAACCCTATCTATGCACTCTAGTGTCAGATAATTTCATCCTTCGTCCATGCAATAAGCAAAATCTGCAGGTCGAGGCTATCATTGATTATGACGGAAGAACTAAAATATCAGCTATTGTAGTATATTATGTGACCAGTATCTAGATATATAAAAAGTTTCAGCCAGCTGAATTAAAGCCCTGAATGCTCTTTTCGTACGTTTTTCAATAGACTACTCTTTTTAATATAGTTAATACTGATGAGGTCATAATACATTATGTCTATTTTTGTTTCCTATTATGCGCATTCCAACTCACTATCATTCGGTTTGTTCCACTTTATAAGAACTCAGTAAAACTTTTAGGACGCTATACTTCCGGCTAAAGTTGTTTCCAACTACTTTTATTTTTCTCCGCTCGTTAACCCATCTCCTAACTATGCATCGTGTTTCAGTTTAAAGTGAAAACGTGGTTAGTAAGATTCAGAACATCTTGAACGACAGCTGCTTCATGGTTTTCAAATTATGCTTCGTCTTTTTCTTTATCGACAAAGCTTCCTCAGGAGCCCCTTAAAAACGTGTTTACTAGAAAATTCAAAGACCATTTTAAGCATCTTCCTCTGAACATGGCAAAGTATTAAAATTCACAAAACGTGTCCACGACATTGGATTTTTATTACCTTGATTTCGAAGTGAACACTGACTGTGGTAGACTCTCTCGATGGTGCCTTCAAACAGGACACTTTTAAACAAACACTGGATTGAAAAGAGATATTTTGACCGGCAAAACGTCTTTTAAATGATAAACTGTCATAGTTAAATATAGTTTTTTAATTCTTTATCAGTAGTCTACATGGCAAAGACTAAGACGCAATCACTGTTCTTTTCGCGCTCAGTCCGGCTATGTTGCCATTCTGTGTGTTAGTAAAAAGGAATTTTTGAGCACAAAATCGTGCCCAGTTAGTTTTTTTTAATGTAGGTGTATGGAACGTTCTTCCGAGCGACACATCCTTTGAAACCAATGACGCATCTTTTGTCCCGGCGTGCGGGAAAAAAGTGTTTTCAACAAATGTGCATGTTGTTGCGTTTTAATTTTTTGGTTGAATCTTTTGGACGCAGACACAGTAGCTTTTTACTACAAACAAGACGCGCTGCTGCCGGAAAACCGTGAGGTGTGTCCCTCTTGTAAAACGTCCTCTGACTGTTTTGTAATATAATAGCAGAGCTTCCGGTGAGTTTCCACTCGTATAGCCATAGTGTATTGTAAGTTTGTGGGTAGAGGTTAAGCGTTTCAATATCCAAGCACATACACTATCAGGGGTTCTTTATCAGCTTGCACTACCATTCTAAGACGCACTTCCCTTCCCATTGTGATAATGAACAGCCAGATTTCCACCTTATGCTTAAATGGTCATCCATAACAATAAATCCTGTAAAGTGAAGTCATACAGTGATCGTATGGTCCTATCCTTATTTTCACACAGATATTATTTTTCCCCCCACTTTTACACATTTTCCAGCTAGGTACATATAGTTAGCCCCTTTTCTGAATGAATGGCTCTCGTTAAACAAGTATAATCGCCAGGAAGTCAAACAAAGATGCCTCTTTGATGTTACATGTTTCGTTTACTATGATTTTTGCATCATCACTAGCATATGCCATGCTGCATATGAGGAAAATCTGTCTTAAGAGGGCAGCATAGAAATCTCACATTCAACTGGGTTGTGAACCAACGCATCGTTAAGACCTTCAAAACCGTTTGTGAAAAAATGCCGAAGGTATGATCCTGTCATTGCGCTCAACAAGACGCCGGTGAGCGCAGAGTATAATTCCTTAAATAACTCTAAGGGCGGTCTAATTAGTCTATAAGCGGGCTATTTATTGTTACCTTCTATCATCGAAGCAACTGTCCTAAAGACTTATTTCCCCTATTCCAGTGAATTTCTAATTTTTTGAAGGTAATGGCCATTGAGATATTTTGTATAAACTCTAGCAATATTTTCAAATTTGCCACCCTCTGTAAAGGTAAAGTTGTCGACCTGATTTTACTAATTTCATATGTAACTGCGCGCGTTTCCTTACACAGTCTATAAGGATCTTTTCTAAGACCTTTTAAGAAAATGCATGAAATAGTGTTTGTTAAAAGAGTACTTAAACCAGTAGCGAAGTAGATATTTTTCAAAAAAACCGCTTCCAAATATGCATTTTGGAATTTTTCAGATGGATAAGCTAAACTTTAGGAAGCACACACTATCTTTTTATTAGTGACTTCATAAACTGTTTTACTACTTACACTTAAGTGACGGTATGGTTTTTAGGATGACTTTTCCGTTTTGAAATATAGGGGAATTATTTAAACTAGTGAGACCTTAAAGTAAGCACCTAGCTGCTGAACGACGGAGAAAATTATCCATGAAACGCTAGGCTGGCAGCACGTGTTTCTGTCGTGATTCCGTCTAACAGCTTAAGAAGAGAAATGAAAGTCAAGTAAGTCCTTGAATCTTCCTCTCTTTCGTCAGGAAGTATCTCGTCTTCTAAGTTAGTCAAGTGTAAACGGATATTCCTAAACGATCCTAAAAAAGTCCGTTATGATAGACGGCAGCTATCCGCAAATGCAAGAACGAGTTTGTTAGTTATTCAATAGCATTTGTATATGTTGTGTCCACAATTACTTCGGCTGGTCATTAAGTTTGTGACATACTCCGTCCTAGAGGCACGCTGTACTCCATAGTTGCTGGACAGATCTACTCACCTGGGTTTTTGCATGCCCCATTCTTCAGACAGATTGAGTTTGTGGGATTAATTCCAGTGCAGCGAAGGAGATCCGGTACCTTGCTTGCATCCACCATGCCATCTCGGCCGTCCCAAAAGTCGAAGAGGTCGAACACTTCCCTGATATCTAAACGTAAATTAATTAACTGATGCGTCTAGAATCAGTGAGTTGGAAGTAAGGACCTAACAGACGGGAAAAGTTCATGAATGTTCGAGCACAAATCTAAACTCTGGAAACCAGCAGATAGGACTGAGTACAGCCTGCTGGGCAAGGGTGGATGAAATAAAAACATAACACAATGAAGAGGCAGAGGGGAGGAGAATTACGAATCAAACCCATTTTGAAAATTGAAAGACAAAAGACGTCTGCCGCGCCGGGACTTACCATCGACTTCCGCCTTTGACAAGCCAGCCTGAGTAAAAAAAATGCGTACATTCGGCAATTTAGAATAATAACCGGTTTACCATGTTAAGAGGTAGAATTGTATCGTCGTTTTGCGGAACTCAGCGTCAGTAAAGCTCTCCACTGGCAGTTGGGAGCAGTCGGTAAAAGTTTTGTCAAGTGTCGTGCGCAGTCATACGTTCTTCTTGTGGGCAATGGATAGACAAAAGCTGATTGGTCGTTTCAGGGTGAACAGCGAGTGTGCTGTCTTTTTCTTGCACGACTTCATGAGCACTCGAGAGAGCGAGAGAGCCAATGTTGCTGTCATTGTTGTTAAAAACGTCAACCACAGTCAGCCTGTTGCTGTCCCGAAGAAATCAGTTGAGAGTGTGTATGGGTGGGTGTTTGTGTGTCTTCGTACTTCTCTCCCCCCCCCCTGCTGTGTGCGTGTGAGCGTAAAACTGTGTGGCCTCCCGACTGTCAGAAGTCGTTATTCTTAAGCGAAAACAAGGCATACATTCTGCATGGAAGTAATGTCCCTGTAGTCAGTGTGTTAGGTCGAGACAAGCACACCAGACGGCGTCTTGACCGCATTCTCCCAGTGGAACAAGGTATGAAGAGGAAGGAAGGGCGTGGTCGATACAAAGCAATGATTCAATTGCGGGTCAGTAGCCACCGGTGAAGCCGAGGACGGCACGCACAGGGGGTAATGTAAAGCCCATGGGATGGCCGCCAAATGAGTAGGGACTAAGCGGAGCCGTTAGACATGCCGTAGAACTCATTCGGGTGAATCAGATTGAAGAGAACTCCGGCAAAAATACGGGATAAACTATTGGCAAAAAGGGATTTAGGACTGGGAACAGCGGTGACTGATATACGAAGGCGGATTCAATTACATTAGTAGTATGCTCCAGCTGAATGGAGACGATACCACCATGCCTACTTAACAACCGGCAGGGAGGGATGCTGACGTAGAGTGAGAGAGGGGGAAAAGGTGTTGCCGCGAGCGACGATGGTGGGAATGTCAGCATTTGCGAGGGTGAAAAACTTTGCCATCTTGACGGACACGCGTTCAAACGGATCACAGCATGGATCCCCACGTCAAGAGAATACAGTCGGTTCAAACAGCTCGGTCAATTCGGTGGTATATTACAAGTCGTCGGTGTACGCCCCAAACAGGAGGAAGGAATGATTGTGCAACTCTTGTTCAACCCACGATCAGCAAACGGCCTCGAAAACCTAGATACCGAGTCGGGAAACACAAAGACAGGCAAGATATAGATGAAATCATTGAGTTACAGCCATATTAGACAACAATTCTCCTACGTTCTACAGAAAGGAAGGTTTGAGATAGCATCTTGCTTTTCATTAAGTATCGAGAGGTTGCCGCCATATCTACTCGGCGTTTGAATTCTCACTTGGCCAACAAAAAGTCCCGGCACAGTAGCCAAATAGGGCAATAACTGTTTTCGACGTTTCGACATTATGCCTGCACAGATGATGTCTCTGATGGAGGGTTCGAGCAGGAACTCGAAACGTCAGGCGAATAAATTTCTTCTTCCATCGATCGTGTCTTTTTTATGACAGCGCACTTACATTTATTGGGCTTGCTAAGTGGATGAATATGTGGTGGCCAGCCATCCTGACCGGTCTGGTTTCATTGTTCAAGAGCTCGCTGTCTCAAGGTCATTCGCCCCCTGCAGTGAGCCATCCCAGACGAGCTGGCCTGAAGCCACTCCACCGACTACAGCTCGGACAAAATTGCGTTCACACAGCTTCGCGGCTGACCATGCGCCAATTTAACGCACCCCATCCCCTGCAACCACAACCTAAGCCACTGGGACTCCACCCCTCGGCAAATGCAACACCCACCGATTGGAGACCACTTGTGCTTGGCCCACGAGCCTACAAAAGCGGCTGCCACCACTATCTCAGGGTCTCTGAGGCATGACTGGACGCAGTCAACACCAGCCCTGGCCGCTGCCGCCTGAGAGGACAACTCCGGGTTCTGTGCACAATAAACCCCTCATTCTGGTGCCTTGCTTCTTCTCCTTACGACTTGGGATTCGACCTGAGTACTTATTATCACTACGCCTGATCACTACAAATATGCCGCAGCCATGAGGATGGGGCGGAGATTAAAGTAGTGCTGTCATGTTTATAGGTGTTGTATCTATCACAAAAAGCTCCGCTGCAGATGTTCTGAGCCACGTGGGCGGGTCAGATCGGGGCAAGACATGCGTTATACAGACTGCACCGAGTGTGCGAATCTCATGAAAAATATCACACATGAAGGCAGGATGTGGTAGCATGCCAAGGCGCGTGATACACGCCGCGCCGGCCACTTGAGTCCAAGTCCAGCATCAGATGACTGATGGGCCCGAACAGTTGCTTGGAGCACGTAAAAGAGAAGAGGAAATGTGGTGGGTTCTGTCCAAACGAGACTACAGCGCATTTTTTGCTATAAACAATCTAATGTGCTTCGAAACTACAACGAGAAGCCTAAAGTCGTGACTAGGAATGATGCAAAATGACGGAATAAGTCCTTCCTCTCAGCACAGCAAGTCAGGATCAATGTCTCTATGGCAGTCCCTCTCAGATGGGACCCGAGCCGACCCCTTATTTCCGTGAAAGCCTAGTCCATCGAGGGAGACCGGGTCTTGTGTGGCCACTGCGTCCGGCTCCGCCTCTTGCTCGTCTTGACTCAGTCTTGTCACCGTGCCCAGGTCAGTGGATGCGGCAAATGCAGCGCAGATCGCCGCCCATTACACCATGCTTTTGGGCACATGGTGAATATTGTAGTTAACGATAGATTAAATAGCAGTGATTATCCACTTTTTATAGATTATTGGTCGTACCTTATTTCGTAGCTGTACCTGCAGTAGGTAAGCCTCAGCCCAGCCTCTAAGCCTCGCCCCTAAACCCTTACCGCAACCCCTAACTCCCAACCTTAACTTCTAACTCCTAACCTTTACCCCTACCCCTGGCTCCAACCCCTAACTCCTAGCCCTAGACCCTAACAGGTACTGCTATTAAATAGGAGCTTGCCAGATTATTTTTCTCATCATTACACAAGCCGGTAACAATCGGGAGATGGCACCCAAAAAATACGCCCAACCAAAGTAGCCTGCCTTACGGGACAGGTGGTTATATGGGTTTTATGGCTGGGGCCTTCGAATGCGTGGATAGATGTCAGTAATAGCAAGAATTTTTCACAAATTGCTTTTCGAACGATGAAGTTTTACTTCATCGCTATATAGCAGCAAAAATGGGCGCGGTGAATGAAAAGTAAGCAAATAGCAGTGCTGTAGAGGTAAACCATTTTCAGAAACCCTCGAGGAATTTGAGCACTTGTGATCAGACGCAGCGATCGTTTCTCTACACTCCTAAGGTATGCATGATTAGATTTAGCCGCAACCCCACTACTGCTGTTACTCGTCAATTGTGTAAGCCTTGGTCAAGGTTGATTAACCATCGCTCGGTCTACAGCGATGGCATCTCAACTGTTGGAGACTATGATAATCTAAATGAGGCAGCATGTGCGCTGCAGGTCGGATGAAACAAAAACTATGTAGGGCTATAACTTTCTCAAATAGATATAGTATGTAGGTATTAATCCTAGGCAACGGATATTTGGGTGCCATCTCCCGATTGTTACCCACAAGCCGTCTCTAATTGAATAGGAACGTGAAGCCTGAGTGGATCACGGCAACGGTAGGGTATAGGGCTTCAAATAACTTGAGATAGCCTGTGGACCATGTCATACGTTGAGTGGTGGTAGAGATGTTATGGATGGGGGAACACGCCGAACGAAGAGAAGGCGGAATACATGGAGACGCAGAAAATTAACAAGTTTTTGCCGTATGTCTTATCGTATGCTGTCATCGGGCAAAGAAAGCAGACAGAAAGCAACCTTCAAGAAATAACGGATTTTGAGCAAATCGGCGTTGGCAGCTTTGTATTCTGTCAGGAAGCCAAGGAAATTTCAACTAATAGGAACGGTGAGTAATAAGTGGTGCTTGCAGTCACAAGGAATTTTAGTGTACATGCTGGAGTTGCCAGCTTCGCGGGGTCCTACACCCTACCGTCTCCTGGATCATTTGACTACCTAGTTCAAAGTGCTCGCCCTGGTTAACCTGCGCTCCTAGAGTCACAGGTATTACCGAGAGTAAAAATGGGTTTCCATTATATCCCCGCCTACCTACCTGTAATAACTCGCAGGTTAAAGCATTACCCCTCAAAATCATTTTTTGTCGACTAATACTGCAGGTTTCGTCTAGTGTTCATTATGCGCGGTCTGAATTTCCTTCACATACACTCCAACTACGCCCCATAGTCCCCATTTATACATGCCTACACTGCCCTGCTTATATTTTGCCATTTAGCTGTTATTTGCCAACGTTTAGTAAGAAAATATGTACTGCCCCTTTAGAACGTACCTTACCACATACTCTTATATCACTGATGCTATTTTCCTAATATCCAGTTGGTTAATCTTCTGTTGAACAATGAAAGATTCTGCGCAGCCAGTCATTAACTGCCACAAAGCCACCTATCCCTCCCCTCCAAACCTGAACTGGTTTACCTAGCTCGTATGTCGTAGGATGGTTCATCAACAATCGGTCAAACCATTCGTACCACGGTTTCTGACATTTTTATAGATTGCAATAATAAAATTAAAAGCTAATTTTTCAC